TATTTTGAGTCCCACTTGTTGAAACAAAGAGTGAACAACAATGGCACAACACCACAGAGTTGCTCATATACCAGATACCTGAACTGTCTGTGTAGTTACAGCTCATATAACCATTAAGATGTATGGAAAAGCTTGAAGTGGGGACTAAAACAAACACATGAAAAGTCCAATATCTCTCAACCTTTTAAATGCCTACAAATTGTAGATACAGTGACTGAAAAACTTGGTCCTGATCCCACAGTCCTGATGCAGATTACACTCACATGAAGTCCTGCAGAATTTCAGAATTGGATCCTTAGTTTACATTTGGAGGCAAAGTCTGATCAGCCGCTCACATGAGTGGTACTGCTCATGAGCACGGAGAACAGGATTTGTCCCTTGGTCTTTGCACAAAGGGTATAATCAATCCTGTATTCCTTGAGCACCCAGAATTTAAATTTACTTCAAATTGTTGTAGATTGTCTTTCTCATCAACAGAAGTTGGTCCAATAAAAGATATTCTTTTACCCACCTTGTCTCTAATTTACTCTGAAGGAATTTTTGGTATATAAGAAATGCAGGCCTGATTCCCAAATGAGTAGCATTAATACACAATTTCATATAAAACATTTATTATTTTTATATTTTATAAAAATAAATCTCTTGATGTGTACACAACATTGATTTTACAAAATAAGCAATATTTTTGAGTTCATGTGTTTGAGATAAGAGCAAAACCCTTAGACATATTTCTATACATTAAAATTATTGATTAGGATTTTGCCCTTCAAATGCATTCTGGTCTAGCTTTTAGCTGAAAATACAACATTCATAACTCAAATATGGTGTTTAATATTAAAAGCACCATATTTGTGGAGGCTGCTACTCATGTCTCATACTGAGAGCTAAAACTGTCAGAACTTCTTCCTATATTTCCTCTCATGCCATTCTGTTCTTAGCCAGGCAAAATTACTACTGCATTCAAGGGGAGTTCTGCCTATAAACCCCTATCCCCCATAATATACGTGGCATAAATGAAGCTAATTAATTTAAGAGTGGGAATTGAGTCCCTTCTTCATTCCACTCACCCAACTAGAGCCACATATATTGAGGTATTAAATACTAAATCCTGAAATTCAATTTGGAATGTACTAAGGAGGAAAAATTTGCTAACAGGTTCCATCTGACCTATAGAAATCCAGTTAAAATATTAATATTAGAATCTAACTGCCACTTCATGTATGTGAAAAGATTTTATCGGCTCCAATTCACACCTAAGAAAACTTGATTTACACATTATTTATAATATATGCCATCTCTCAAATGTTTCACTCTTTAAACTATTTTCAGCCATAAATTACAATATGTGTACTTTCTTAGCAATGTGTAATATTTTAATGATAACATGTCAAAGTTAGCTGTTTCTGTTCTTTGATTTAATTCAATGACTGTTTCCAACTCTTTATTGACAAAAAATTTTAAACAAACAAAAACACCACCAGTGTCACCTTGCATAGGACAAAACCCTGCATACCTTACTCATGCAAATATTTCCAGTGATGACATTAAAAACAAAAGGAAGGCAAGCAGGATTTGGCCCATAATTTTAGGGTATAAAAACAGTAAAGGGAATCTGAGCGGATCTGGCACCTTAAGAATATACAAGATGTTTAGTGTTCTTTGCACAAAGCAAAACAACATCCCCACACATACAGCAGCCAGCAACTTGAAACAATGAATGTAAAACTGTGCACTATAAAAAGAGTTAAAGAAAAATATTGTATATAAAAACCATTTATAAATACAGTCTCTAAATGATGAAAAAGATACACATTTTCTTTTAATTCAGTGTAACAAAATGACAAAGTCAGAGAAATGCAGTGATGTTGTAGTCGTGTTAGTCCAAGGATATTAGGGAGACAAGGTGTGTGAGGTAATATCTTTCATTGGATGAACTTCTGCTGGTGAAAGAGACAAGCTTTTGAGCATACACAAAGCTCTTCTTCAGGACCTGTGTAAGTTTGAAAGCTTGTACTTTGCCCACCTTTTCTCTCTAAACTCAGGGAAAGATGGTTTCAGTAATTAGCATGCACATCATTCCTCATGAAATATAAGAGGTTTGGCTGCACTATACACAGTTTCAAATTTTTACTCCTGGGGGAATTCTGCGCCACTGTGCATGTGCAGAATTTATGTCACCCATAGATTTCTTTGCTTCACAGCAAAAAAATTACTTTCTGATGGGAAAGCAAAGGGAAGCCACAAGGGAAGAGTGGTCATGCAACCCGCCCCAGCAGTATGTTTTGGGGGCCCAGGGCAAATGGCAGAGAGATAAATCACTGTGGGGCAGTAGGCGGGACTGGGGAAGACCTAGCTGGTGGCTCCTACCCTGCGCCAGGCTCAGCTGCTAGTCCCATCTGGACTGAGAGGATGGGACTTCCTCTTTCTTTGCATGGGACAGCTGAAGGAAGCTCTGCAAAGCCCCCCACCCCCGCCTCTTTCTGCACCCCTCGCTCCTCAGCTGCAGGGGGAGTTATCCCTGTACAGGGAGCTGCTCCCCCATCCATACAACCCCCATGCATCCAGACCTCCTCATACCCAGACCCTCTTGCCAAGCCTCATGACCCCACTCAGAACTCCCCCCCGCACCATCAGCCCCACTCCTGCTGCACCTGGACCACCCCGACAAGCCACCTGCACCTGGATCCCCACCCCACCAAGCCCCAACCAGCTGCAGCTGGACCCCCCACTGAGCCCCTCACACCCATGCCCTACCGCCAAGCTCTTTCTTCCCCACACCCAGACCCTCCAGCCTGCTGAGCCCCAACCTTCACCTGATCCCTCCTACAGAGTGCCATTTTCACTGCACCCAGAACCCCTCAACAAGCCCCCCCCACACACACACACACACCTGGATCCCCCAATGAGCCACCCATACCCAGATTGCCCCACATGAATCCTCTCAACCCACACCTGGATCCCCACACACTAAGCCCCTCCACACTTGGATCCTGCCTTGCTGAGCCTGCCTCCCCACATCTGGTGCACCTGCACAGAGGGGCAGGGCCCTGGGGTGTTTCTGGGGCAGGCCCGGTCCTTGCGCTATGTCAGGATTGGGTACAGCCTTACCGCTGAGTCCATATCCGGGGGGGGGGGGGAGCTGCCCAGTGATCGCCCACCTCTGTGCAGCCGCGGGCTCCCCATGCTGGAGCCTCCACATTTATTTGACAAATAAAATTTGCAGAATTTTAAAATATTGTGCAGGAAATTTTTATTTTTTTGGCACAGAATGCCCTCAGGAGTATCAAATGACTTACCATACACAGATGACTTTCAAAATATCTTGTTTAAAATGCATCTGTTTCATGATTTTGGTTTCAGAATGTAACATGAAAAGATAAGCAATAACAAATACTGGGCTAAATTCAGCTCTCGGTTACACCCATTTACCCCATAGAAAAAAAATGTGTAACCGAGAGCAAAATTGGCCTACTGTGATTAATACAGAAACATGGCCATGATGCAGGTATTAAAAAGTATGATCTACCCAAACATTAAAAACCTGTCAGTCAAAACATTAGAGAAATAAGGTATTCTCTATTGCAGAGGTTCTCAACCTTTCTCTTTCTGAGCCGTCCCTCCCGCCTCCCCGATACATGCTATAAAAACTCCATGGCCCACTTGTGTCACAACTGGTTGTCTGCATATAAAAGCCAGGACCAGTGTTAGGGGGTAGCAAGTACGGTAACTGCCTGGGACCCCATGCCACAGGGGCCCCTGCAAAGCTAAGTTGCTCAGGCTTTGGCTTCAGCCCCAAGCGGTGGGGCTCAGGGCCCTAGGCTTCAGCCCCATGTGGTGTGACTTCAGCTTTCTGCCTTGGGCCCCAAAGAGTCTAACGCTGGCTCTGCTTGGTGGACTTCCTGAAACCGGGGGCCCTGGACCGCTGGTTGAGAACCACTGCTCTATTGTGTAACGCACTGGCTATTTCTGAGAAGTTAATCATTTTATCACTCTTGATTAGACAGAAAGAACCCCTTGCAGCAGTGCCTCTCAAACATACCCAATTACATGGGGAGCCACTCATTTCAAACCAATATTGATGTCGACATCATAATGAAACTTGCTGCCATCTCACTGCTTATTCCTGATATCAGAAACACAACCCCAGAACAGTGGCTAAACAAAAGGTGACAGACACTGGGCCAAGTCCTGGTCCCACTGAAGGCATGGGCAAGACATTGTCCGCACTTACACTTGTGCCACCCCACTGAACTCATGTAGATCAATGGCCCCACACTTTCCACCTTTGCTATTTCGATTGCCTCTTCTTATGGGCGGGTCAGTGGCATATTTTAAAGCTGGGTCCTTGGCAGGTTGAGAGCTGTGTTTACACCTGTGAGCCCTATTTCGTAGCAGACTTTCTTTTCCCAGGGCCAGATCCTGGGGCTCTTACTTAGTTTCTCCTCCTTTAGCCTGGCAAAAGTCACATTTCCCAGACAACGAGTGAGGAGAAAGCTGAGGAGGCGCCTTGTGCTTTGGCCCCCACGATAACAATCAGGCTCCTTCCCAGCTCAAGTGAAGAGGTGTACAGTACATGCCGCCTGCTGCCCGCGGGAAGGGGCTGCGCATCATCCCCGTTCGCCTAGGAGCCGGGCTGCTAAACAAGATCCCCCGCCGCAGCCCGGCCAGCCCCAGACACACCGCGCCAGCCTCCTGCCCTTGCAAACACCAGCCTGAGCGGGCAACTTCCCCCCAGGTACCTCTCCGCTCCGCACCCAGCGGGACCCGCTTCCCCCCACCTGCCCTGCCAGAAGACGGGGCAAGACGGGCCAGTGGGGAGGAAGCCAGGTCCCTTCATCCCCAGCGAGTCCCCCCCTCGCTCACCTCAGCCCAGCCGCTCGGGGCGGACCCCGGCGGGAGACTCCCAACTTCGCAGCCCTTGGACAGCCCGTAAGTGAACGTGCAAAGGAGACCGCGCGTCTGTGCCCCTCCGGCCGCCCCCCAGAGCCAGGGGCACTCACCTGGCCGGGCCGGCGGGGGAGCGCTGCTCTGCTCGCCGCGGCCGCCCTGCTGCCGGGGCCGCTTCTGAGCCAGGGGCGGCGCGCGGCGTGGCCAGTCCCGGCCGCTGGAGCAGCCGCCGCCTGTGGGAGGAGGCGGCGGCGGGAGGAGGAAACCCAGCAGCAGCGAGGCGCCAGATGCTGCGGCGGTGGCCGCGGGTGCCCTCGGGTCGCTGCTCTTCGGGCCGCTGCTCTCGCAGGCGGCGCAGTCCCCGCGCGTCCCGCCGCAGGGCGCGCCCCTGCTGCCCTGACCCCCGGCGGCGTCCCACCCCCCTGGCCCGGCAGCGCCGGTGTTTCTGCCCCCAGAGCAGCGGGGCCGCCTCTCGCAGAGTTATTCCCGCATCTCGCTGATTTGAAAGGCTGCCGAGGAAACACAAAAACGGGGTGTGAACGCGGCTGCCAAACCACCTCAGCTTCCGGCTGGGGATCTGGGGGAGGCACCGACGTGAGGGGCAAAGCCAAGACACTGGCTGGCTGTCCCAGCTGGTCTACAACCCCCTCCAACGCGTTTGCGCCCTTGATCTCAGGAATGCCCGGTGCCCACTGGAACAATTCATCCTGGGGCTCATGCTTTAGGGTCCAATTCTCCTGGGCGCAGCTCAAGGCAGAAGCCTGTTTATTTTTTTCCTGAGGGAATTTGATCGGGGTCTCCTAAATCACTGGCGGGTCTTTAGCGACAGCTGCTGCCAGGAAACCCCTCTGACAGGAGCGTAGCAAGAGAGGTATCTGTATACCCCCTTCCCAGTTTCCCGCCAGGAGTGCCTTATATTGGTGGGACAAGGTGGGTGACAGACAATATATTTTATTGAATCACCTTCTCTTGGTGAGAGAGACCAGCTTTGAAGTTTACACAGAGCTCTTCTTCAGGTCTGGGAAACACTTTTTATAAGCTCCAAAGCTGAACTCTCTCACCGAGGGAAGTTGGAGCAATAAAAGTTATTACCTCACCCACCTTGTTTGTCTAATATCCTGGGACCCACAGGGCTATAACACTTGAGCTGGCAGGTCGGTTTGCTTGAGGCAGCAATAAAAAGCTCTAGAGCCAGTAAAGTCTTAATGACCCAGTTTAAAATTAGACACTCATAACTGTAAATGTTGAATTTAGGATATTGAAATATCCTTACAAATAAACCACAAGGGACACCATACAATATATTAAATGTCTGTGTGATTTTCTGTAGGCTGAAGTAATGAACATGCAAAAATCTTAGTTGTGCAAAAGAACCAGTTTTATACTGGGTTAGGTTATACACATCATATAAAACATGAATATTAATGTTAATGAGCATTTCTAAATAAAGGCAGTCTCCCCTGTAAGCCATAGTTTTGTTGTTGTTTTAAGGGTAGGAAATTATGTTGGAAAATTTGATCCATAAATGTTATTTCATTGAATTGGCAGATGCTTTGACTATATAAAAGTATCCAAACTAGACTCATACATATAAATCATATCAGCATAACAAAATAAATGGATCAGATTCATATGAATGAAATGAAAAATGAAAAAAAAGAAAAAAGAAAAATAATCTAAAGTCATGAGGAAAAAAGGTCAGCTTATTAAATCAATGTTTCCATAATTTATGGCATTATAGTATTTTCTATAGCTCAGTAGTTAGTTGAAGGGGTAGGGAGAATGTTATCTTTGATACACATGGAGATCAAGAGGTATGTGAAGTGTGATTTGGTACAGTCAAAGAGGACCTGGCAATTAGAAAAGGTGCTGAAAAATCCATCCTCCAATATGAGATATTGAGAGATGGTATTCTCACGTCTAGAATCATAGAAATATAGGGTTGGAAGGGACCTTGAGAAGTCATCTAGTCCAGCCGCGTCATGCTGAGGCAGGACTAAGAATACCTAGACTCACCAATCTACTACAATTGTTTGAGGGGGTCAACAAGCATGTGGACAAGGGGAATCCAGTAGATATAGTGTACTTAGATTTTCAGAAACCTTTGGCAAGATCCCTCCCCAAAGGCTCTTAAACAAAGTAAGCTGTTATGGGATAAGAGGGAAGGTCCTCTCATGGACTGGTAATTGGTTGAAAGATAGGAAACAAAGAGTAGGAATAAATGGTCAGTTTTCCGAATGGAGAGAGAGGTAAACAGTGGTGTCCCCCAGGGTTCTGTACTGGGACCTGCCCGATTCAACATATTCATAAATGATCTGGAAAAAAGGGTAAACAGTGAGATGGCAAAATTTACAAATGATAAAAAACTATGCACATAGGCGCCAACTCCTTGGGTGATCCTCCTCCACCTCCTCCTCCACCTCCACCTCCTCCCCTGAGTGCACCACGTCCTCGCCCCTCCACCTACCTCCCAGCGCTTCCCACAGCCAAACAGCTGTTTGGCAGCATAGGAAGCTCTGGGAGGGAGGGGGGAGGCTCTGGAATGTGGCGTGCTCAGGGGAGGAGGTGGGGAAGAGGTGGGCCTGGGGCAGGGATTTGGGGAAGAAGTCAGAATAGGGGCAGGGAGAGGGTAGAGTTGCGGCGAGGACTTTGGGGAAGGGGTTGGAGTGGGGGCGGGGTCGGAGGGGGCAGGGCAGGGGCAGGGCCGGAGGCAGAGGGAGGTTGAGCACCCACCGGAGCCAGTAGAAGTCAGCGCCTATGACTATGCAAGATAGTTATGTCCCAGGCAGACTACGAAGAGCTACAAAAGGATCTCTCAAATCTCAGTGACTGGGCAACAAAATGTCAGATGAAATTCAGTGTTGACAAATGCAAAGTAATGCACATTGGAAAACATAATCCCAACTATACATAGAAAATGATGGGGTCTAAATTAGCTATTAACACTCAAGAAAGATCTTGGCGTCATTGTGGATAGTTCTCTGAAAACATCCACTTAATATGCAGCGGCAGTCAAAAAAGCTAACAGAATGTTGGGAATCATTAAGAAAGGGACAGATAATAAGACAGAAAATATCATATTTCCTCTATATAAATCCATGGTACGCCCACATCTTGAATACTGAGTTCAAATGTGGTCGCCCCATCTCAAAAAAGATATATTGGAATTGGAAAAGGTTCAGAAAAGGGCAACAAAAATGATTAGGGTTATGGAATGGCTTCCATTTGAGGACAGATTAATAAGACTGGGACTTCTAAGCTTGGAAAAGAGATGACTATGGGGGGATATGATTGAAGTCTATAAAGTCATGACTGGTGTGGAGAAAGTAAATAAGGAAGTGTTATTTGTTCCTTCTCATAACACAAGAACTAGGGGTCACCAAATGAAATTAATAGGCAGCAGGTTTAAAACAAAAAAAAAAGGAAATATTTCTTCACACAACGCACAGTTAACCTGTGGAACTCTTTGCCAGAGGATGTGTGAAAGCCAAGACTATAACAGGGTTCAAAAAAGAACTAGATAAATTCATGGAGGATCGGTCCATCAACGGCTATTAGCCAGGATGGGCAGGGAGGGTGTCCCTCTCCTCTGTTTGCCAGAAGCTGGGAATGGGCAACAGGAAATGGATCACTTGATGATTACCTGTTCTGTTCATTCCTTCTGGAGCACCTGGCATTGGCTATTGTTGGAAGAAAGGATACTGGGCTAGATGGACTATTTGTCTGACCCAGTATGGCCGTTCTTATGTTCTTACATGTTTCCCTCAACAGTTCTTAAAAACCTCTAATGATGGGGATTCCACAACCCCCCTTGGTAACCTGTTCCATTGCTTATCTATCCTTATCATTACAATTTTTTCCTAATATCTAACCTAAATCTCCCTTGTTGCAAATTAAGCTGATTACTTCTTGTCAGACCCTTGGTAGACATGAAGAACAACTGATCACCATCCTCTTTATAGTAGCCGTTAATATATTTGAAGATTGTTATGTCTCCCCTCAGCCATCTTTTCTCTAGACTAAACATGTCAAACTTTTTCAGTCTTTCCTCATAGGTCATTTCCATTCAGAGTGGAATAAAGTTCCCTGAAGAATCTCCTGTTCAGTGTTGTTGTCTTTCCCCTTTCCTAGTCCGTGACCCTCCACTGCTCCATGTGGGATTTGGTAGGCTCAGGCTCCCTGGAGTGCCAAAACTAGATAACATCTAACAAATTTGGCCCTAGCAGTCCCAGATTTTTAGAAATTATCCTGTCAACCGGATGTTCCAGCCAATGTAATGAGAGAGAAATGAATGACCAATCATATGCAGGGACTGGACAGGGAATTATTTTAATTGTAAAAGGTTTTTTTATTATTATTACTTTTGTTTTTGTAAGTTCTGGGCCTCCTGCAAGTGGGTGGAGTTAGTATGCAGGCAGTGGAAGAGGAACTATGGCACTGTACTGAGGCTGGCAAGGAATTTTGTTGCCAGGGCAGCAGCTCTGTAGCTTCTTTGGATTGCTGCCTGTAACAAGCTTGGGTTTTGCACCAAATACACAGTACATTTAGGGAGACGGGCAGGGAGCCCATGAATATATGGGATGGCATAATCCCCAAACAACTACAATCCCCAGGAGAGAGACAAACAGGACAGAAGTCTGGAAGGCCGCCATGAGATTAATGGAGATGCACTAAGACATGGATATCCACCTTTGTGTTGGGATGTCAGTTGTGGACAGGATATCAAGCTGGGCCAAGACGTTTGGGAGAAGGGAGAGATTGATTCACAGAGCACTGGAAGGAGCGTCACAGACTCCCAAACAATTCTGTGCAAAGAGGCTGCCAAGTGGTGAGCACAGGTAGAAGTAAGACTTTTTCACCTGCTTGGAAGAGGTGTGTGCCTTCATTGCTTTTGAAGGTTTGTCTACACTACATCTAACATTTAGCTGTTGCAACAGCCTGGCAGGCTTGTACTGCTTATAAAATGAGCAAGTATAAGCACCATTATATCACCTTGCACTGTTGCAGGACCAGTTTCCTGTGAAGAGGAAATGAAAGTGGTGCAGTTGCAGTGGTACAATTAATCCTGCCAGTGAACTAAAAATGTGCATTATATGTCATATACATATCCATCTGTCTTTGGAAGCTGTGCTGGAAATTGTGGGATACATGCAACACTCTACAAAGCCTGCAACAATGGCAGGAACTGCTGTGCATGAACATGGTGAGCTTTGTGCCTCCAAAACAGAATGGCTAGTATGCATTGCACTGTTGCAACTTGCACAAGGTCTATCACACCTGTGCAAAATTGCAATATGCAACTTCTGGTCAAAAGGATAGGGGCTGCATTAAATTAAATTGGCGCTTTTCTCTCACCTTAGAATAGAAGTCCTAGAGTCTCAGTTGTGGCTGAGGAACACACAGCTCAAATTGTAGGGGCTAGGATAA